ACCGTAGGAACACGAAACAGGACTCTACCAACAACTAAACGAGACCCTAGGAACACCAAACAGGACCCTGCCAAAACTAAACGAGACCGTGGGAAAACTACAGAGGACCATGGCAAACAAGACCCTAGGACAACTAAACAGGACCCTAGCAAAACTAAACGAGACCCTCGGAACGGTAAACAGGACCGTACCGCAAATAAACGAGACCTTAGCACAACCAAACAAGAAATTTGCCAAATGAAAAGGTACCTTAGGAAAACTAAACAGGACCCTAGCAACAACTAAACGAGACCATTGGACAAGTAAACAGGACCCTATCAAAACTAAATTAAACGAGACCCCAGGAAAACTAAACAGAATTGTGCCAAAACTAAGCGAGCCCCTAGGCCAACTAAACAGGACTCTAGCACAAGTAAACGAGACCCTAGGTAAACTAAACAGGACCCGACCACAACTAAACGAGACCTTGGGGAAACCAAGCAGGACCCCCCTTCCACAATTATACGAGATCATAGGACAACTAGACAGGGCCCTTGCACAACTAAACGAGACCCTGGGACAACTAAACAATAGCAAAACTCAGCGATACCCTAGGACAACTAAACAGGACCTTACCACAACTAAAGGAGACACTAGGAAAATTAGACCAAATCTAGCGAGACCCTAGCAACAGTAAACATGACCTTGCCAAAACCTACGAGACCCTCGGACAAGTAAACATGACCCTAGCAAAACTAAACGAGACCTTAGGACAAGTAAGCATGGCCCTACCAAAACTAACCGAGACCCTACCAAAACTAAACAGGACCCTAGCAAACGTAAGCGGGACTTTAGGGAAACTAAACACGACCCTGCCACAACTAACCGAGACCTTAGGAACACTAAACAAGACCCTCGCAACACTAGATGAGACCCGAAGAGAAAAACTAAACAGGACCCTCGCAAAAATAACCGAGACCCTAGGTAAACTAAACAGAACCCTTGCACAATTAAACGAGACCTTCGGGCAACTAAACAGAAACCTACCAACACTAAACGAGACCCTCGGAAATTAAACAGGACCCTCGCAGATTTACGAGACCCTAGGACAACGAAGCAGGACCCTACCAAAACTAAACGAGGCCTGAGGAGGGGGGGGGGGGGGGAGAGAGTTTTTTCTACACATATATAACACTATTTGTATATATATATATATATATGTATGTATGTATATATATATTACACAACAGGACCCCAGCGCAACTAAACGAGACCATTGGACAACTAAACAGGACCCTGGCAAAACTAAACGAGACCCTAGGACACCTAAGCATCACCCTGGCCAGAGTAAACGAGACCCCCGGACTTCTAAACAGGACCCTAGCAAAACTAAACGAGAGCCTCGGAAACGAAACACGAGACCCTAGGACAGTTGAACAGGACCCTGCCAAAACTAAACGAGACCCTAGGACAACTAATTAGGACCCTGCCAACAACTACGAGACCCTAGGACAACCAAACAGGACCACACCAAAACTAAACGAGACCATAGGACAACGAAATAAGACCCTTGCAAACCTAAACGAGACCGTAGGAAAACTAAACAGGACCCTACCAAAACTAAACGATACCGTAGGAAAGCGAAGGAGGACCTTAGCAAAACTAAACGAGACTCTAGGAAAACTAAGCAGGACCCCGCGAAAACTAAACGAGACCCACGGACCACTAAACAGGACCCTACCCAAACTAGACGAGGCCCTAGGAACATCGAACAGGACCTTAGCAAAACTAAACGAGACTATAGGAAAACTAAACAAGACCCTACCAACATTTAACGAGACCACAGGAAAACTAAACAGGACACTGTCAAAACTAAACCAGACCCTAGGACAACTAAGGTGGGCCCTACCAAAAGTAAACGAGACCCTCGGCAAACTAAACATGACCCTGGCAAAGGCAAACGAGACCCTAGGACAACTAAACAGAGACCTACCAAAACTAGACGAGACCTTAGGAAAACTAAACAGGACCCCGCCACAAATAAACGAGACCCTAGGAAAAGTAAGCAGGACCCTACCAAAACAAAGCGAGACCCTAGGACAACTAAACAGGACCCAAGCAAAATTACGCGAGGGCGTAGGCAAACTGAACAGGACCCTAGCAAAACTAAGCGAGACCCTAGGACAACTAACCAGGACCCTACCAAAACTAACGAGACCCTGCCTAGGAGAACTAAACAGGACCCTATCAAAACTAAAGGAGACCCTAGGACAACTAAACAGGACCCTAGCAAAACTAAACGAGACCCTAGGACAACTAAACATGACCCTGCCACAATTAAACGAGACCCTCGGAAAACTAAACAGGACTTAGCAAAACTAAACGAGGCCCCAGGACAACGAAGCATGACCCTAGCACAACTAAACGAGACCATAGGCAAACTAAACAAGACCCTATCACAGATTTACGAGACCCTAGGAATACTAAACAGGACCCGAGCAAAACTGAACGAGACCCTCGGACAACTAAAGCGGACCCTACCAACACTAAGCGAGACGACAGGACCATACCAAAAGTTAATCGAGACCTTCGGAAAACTAAAGAGGACTTTAGAACAACTAAACGAGACCCCAGGAAAACGAAACAGGACCCTAGCAAAATTATCGAGACCCTAGGACAACGAAAGAGGACCCTACCAAAACTAAACGAGACCCTAGGAAGAAACACACTAATAAGAAAACAACTAACTATGACCATGCCAAAACTAACCTGGGAAAACGAAACAGGACCCTAGCAAGATCAAAGGAGACCCTGCGTCACATTTCGGCTCGAATTCCCTGTTGCTCAGCGTTCCTCGCTTCGCCACTAGCGCACTCGCTGCGCCTTATTCCGCCGCGCGCGACGACGCTGCCTCTGGCGCGCGGCGCGTCGCGCGGTCTCCATGGCGGCGCCGCGGCCGAACTTGGAGGCCGCGCGCGTCGAGGCGGTCGAAGCGTACCTGCTGGAGCAACGCGCCAGCGACAAGAAGATCAGCTGGCGCGCCGTGCTGAATAACCACGCCTCGACGCGCCCTAAAGAGTGCGGAGGCGCTTTGGTCCGAGCCGTCGCCGATTGCAAGGAATTCGCTGCCTCTGGCGCGGGCTGGCGGTGCACCCTGACTTTGCCGAACAGCTTTGCGCCGGGTGATGGCCGTCGGCTCGTTGCGATCGGGGACAGCGAGGCGAAAAACGAAGCGTCGGAACTCGCTTGCCTCCGAGCCGCCGCTTCGCTCGTCATCGAAAACCCAGGCCAAGTTGTGCTCGGACCGGTGCGCTGGAAGATGACGCCCGACGTGCTCGTGGCCAATCTGCCCGGCGTCGCCGCCGACCCTGCCTCTGGCGGGCACGCGCTGCCAGTGCACGCCCCTGCGCGGCTCCAGGGCGCGGGCTCGGAGGCTGGCGCGCTTGGCGCTGACGCGCGCTTGGTTGAACTCGTCGAAGACATTCTCAAAACGCACGGCGGTGAGTTCGATCCGTCGTGGATTTCCTGGAGGAAGGTGCGTTGGCGCGCCGAGCGCCCGTGGGACACATTCAATAAGCTTTTAATGCCTGGGGGGCTGAACGGCTTCCTCGACAAACACTCCGATCAATTCGCTTGGCGCGTGCACGCAGGCAACGAAGGCGTGCTCATCGCATGGGCGAACTGGTTGACGCAGGAGGGGCGCGGCGCCCCGCCACCATGGGAGCGCCCCGCCACGGGCGAAGCCGCCCCGCCACGGACAGCGCCCCAATAGGGAGTGGCCTCAGGAAGCGGCCTGAAGCGGCCTGAGGGTGCCCCGCCAACTCACCGCCCTCAGCAAGCGGCCTCAGGAAGCGGCCAGAATGCACTGCCTCGGGCGTCGCCCAACAATTCACCGCCCTCAGGAAGCGGCCAGGATCAGAGCAACCCTTGGGGACACCTTGCCTAGGCCTCTGGCGTGGCCGAGTCACTGCCTCTGGCGTGCCGCTGCCTCTGGCGCGTCTTCTGGGGCCAACGCGGCGCCGCGGCAGCTGTTGTCTTGCCTAGGCCTCTGGCGTGGCCGAGTCACTGCCTCTGGCGTGCCGCTGCCTCTGGCGCGTCTTGCGAGGCCAACGCGGCGTCGCGGCTGCTGTTGCGAGCGGAAAAACTCGTCGTCATCATCACCACCATCGTAGTCGCCAGTGTGACCACCGACATCATCAGCAACATCAGCGACGTCATGACCACCGACATCATGACCATCGTTATCATGACCGCCGTCATCATGACCACCGACATCACGACCATCGTCATCATGACCACCAACATCACATGGCATCATTTGCGCCAACGTCATAATCATCATCGCCATCATCATCATCAGCATCATCACCATTACCATCATCACGCCAAGTTCGCATCATATTAGCGCCGCGGATCCTTAAAATGATGTTCGACCCCTTGGTGGACCAGTCAGCCTTGGCCGACCTCGATGAGGTGTTGTTGTGCCCTGCCGACAGCGACCTCTTGTTAGAGCAGGGTCAGAGTGCTGGGTGAGATCGTTTGGTCTCAGCTCTTGGGGTCTATTCTGCCGTGCTCTTTTTTTCCTCTGTCGTGCTCCTTCGCTCCTGGAGCCCAAGTTGCCGTGCCCCTTCGCTCTTGGGGTCTATGTTGCCGTGCTCTTTGTATTGTTTTGCCGTGATCCTGTGCAATTGAGGTTCGTATTCCTGGTTCTTCTCTGCCGTGCTCATTAGCTCTTGGAATTGATTTTGCTGAACACAGAGGGGCACGGCAGAACACGCAAGAACACGACGAAACAGACAGAACACACGAGAACACGGCAGAACACACAGGAGCACGGCATAACACGCAGGAGCAACTCCGCAGCCATTTTGGCTCAAGGCCATGGAGCACCCGACGACCGCAAGTCGTCCGCGGCGTTCCGAGCGCGAGGGTCTCCTCGCTTTGGGCCAGTGCACTTCCTTGTTGTGCTCTCTGCCTTCGCGGCGCGGAGGAGCGACCTGCCAGCCTGCGCGGCCTGGGCCATGGCGCGCTCCCCGCGGGGTGGCGGCAGCGGCAGCAGGCGCGGCGTGAAGTGCTGGATGTGCAGCTGCGGAGGGTGGAATTGGGACTGGCGCACCACGTGCCTTGGCTGTGGGCACGCGGCTCCGCAGTGGGCCCTGGAAGCAGCAGCCAAGGCCAAGCCCCAGGCTGACAAGGGCGGCTGGGTGGACCAGCCGCGCGGGCGCCGTGCCCAACGGCAGGCCCGCGGCGCGGCTACGAGCGCGGCAACCTCCAAGTCGCAGACCTCGGTGTCGGGAGCCAGCGGGACGCCCAGCGGCAGCGACGCCACGGCGATCGAGAGGCTGCAAGTGGCGGTCGAGCAGCTGGAGGCGCTGCAGGCAGGGCCGCCCGACGGGGTCGATTGCTGCTTCACCGGCGTCGTTGCCAGCCAGCCGGAGGCCAAGTGCGCAGAGCTGGCTGACGCCCAGCGCGCGGCAGCAGTGCAGAAGGCGTCCTCCATGCCTCTGTCGGGCGGTGCTCCACAAGGAGGCGAACGACATCAGCAAGGCAGAGAAGCGCCTCCGAGCAGCGCGCAAGGGCCTGGAGCAGAAGCAAGCAGCATGTGGCATCGCCGAGGCCCAGCTGCAGAAGGCCCAGGAGGAGCTGGCGCAGCTCGATGCGGAGGTGGAGGAGGCCAGCCGTGCGCTCCACGTTCTCAAAGAGGAAGCCCGAGTGGAGGCCGCTGCACTGCTGCGTCAGCGTGCAGCCGAGTGGGCAGGAGCCAGCCAGGTCTCAGGGCTCCTCATTCAGCTGGACAAGCTGCCCGAGGCGTGGGGCTCCAGCAACTTCGAAGTGGCATGGGCGGCCATTCGCGCCCAGGTGGAGGCGGTGCGTGCGCAGCTCGCCGAAGCCCCTGCGGCCCCGAGGAGAGTGCCCTGGGCGGAGTCATGCCCCATGGATGAGATCGACAGCGAGGACGGCGGCCACGCAGGAGGCGGCAGGCCTTGGCGGCCACAGTGCGCCGCGGAGCGCGGCCAGGCCGAACGTCGAGGCGACGCCAACGGCGAGTGGCCGAAGGTCGCCCAGGCGTGCAAGCGGGAGCTGGCGGCCGAGGCTGAGGACCTGGCCCCCCTGGCTGCTCGCCCTGCTGGCCGCGCCGCTGAGAGTCGCGGCGGAGGAGAGAGGCCACGGCAGCAGTGCGTGTAGCCACGCCAGTGGCGCCAGGCCTGGGCAGCAGGAGGGCGGCGGCGCCGAAGTGGCCCGCCTCGGCTGCAAGCGGGCCCTCGCCCTCGTGAGTGCGCAGGCCCCACCGGCGCCAGGCCAAGCCGCGACGGCAGCTCAGGATGTCCGCTGCGGACTGGAGGAGACCCGCCTCGCTCCGCACCGCCTGGAAGAGGCCAGAGGAGCAGTGCTGCGCTCGGGCTTTTCGGCGTTCCTCCATGCGCCGGCGCCCACGGACAAGGAGGGCCCGCTGGCGAACTCAGGGGGCGTGGCGACCCTGGCGCGCAGCGACCTGCAGGCTGCGGGGATTGTGTGGGCGACGCCGAGTGGCTTGAGGCATCGCTTTGTTGGGGTCACGATCACCGCGGCGTCTGGGCTGCTGGCCCTGGCGCGCTCGCTGTGCCTGCAGGACGCCCTGGGGCCCAAGGGCATCAACCTCGACATCTTCGCGGCCTTCGGCGACCTAAAGCTGTCCGAGGGCAGGCCCTGGCTCGCGCTGGGCGATTTCAACATGGAGCCTGGCGCGCTGCGCGAGTTGGGATGGCCGCGTGTGCAGCGCGGCACGTACCTGGGGCCTGCTGAGCGCACGTGTGTGGCCCAAGGGGCGGAGCATGTGTACGACTGGTTCGTGGGCCCCTTTTGCCTGGCCCATGGCGTCAGGGAGGCCTCGGCTCTGGATGGCTTTGGGCGGTACCCGCACAAGCCTGTGTGGCTGCTGCTGCAGGACGTGAGGCCCGACGCCCTGGTGCAGGTACTTGTGCGTCCTGGTCGTTTTCCTGGTGTCGACGCGGTTGGGTGCGATGTGACGCTGCTGGTATTCCACCAGGGACCGCGGTCCGTTGCCGTCGTGGGCATGGCCACCGAGTCGTTCGGCACCAACGGGACAGGTCTGGCGGGGAGTCCGTGCGCCACCTTTGAGGCCAGGCTGCCTGGGCTGGCAGCCCTCCGCACCGCCTCAGCGGGCGGCAGGCCGCTGGTGGGCGCTCGCATCGTTGTAGGCGACATCGCGATGCAGGCCGTTGGCACGGAGCAGCTGGTGGCTGCACGGCTCCGCCGCGCTGGGCTGGAAGTGGCGCCTCGCCTCCGTGTCCAGCACCCTCCCCTCGGTGCTGCTCAGTCGGCCCTCCTCGCTTCGCGCCCCAGCCTTGGGCGCCAGCTCGGGGTGCGCAGGAAGTCGCAAGGCTGGCCCTTCCGTAAGACCTTGCAGGTCAGGAACATCGGCACGGACGCCGCCAATGAGAGGAGAGGAGTGCATGAGGGACGAGTTCGAGCTGCAGGAGCGCTTCCCCGAGCTCGCAGGCTGGGCCCGTTCTGCAAGGCTGGGCCCACGGCCAGCGCAGTGTGCAGTCGCATGGTCACGGGCAACGCGGACGGTGAGCCGCGCAGATGGAAGCTTGCAGCCTGCCGCAGCGCAGGAGCGCTCCCCATGGGCGCGGAGCGAGGGCTGGGCAAGCGCTGTGCCGAGCTCAGGAGGAGGCGCAACCTGGCTCCTGCAGCCCTCACGGCTGGCCACGCAGTCCATATGATGGAGGAGCTGCTGCAGACATGCGACCTGCCGCCCAGGATGATGGAGCGGGGGCTGGAGGCGGCGGCGACCAGGCGCGCAAGAGCTAACACGCCATGGAAGCACTGCCCCCCCCCACCCCCACGACGCAGTGGTGCGGTCCCGTGCGCGGATCGGCTGGCACCTCAAGTCCGAGCGGAGCATGGTCGCGAGCTCTGGCGATGAGCTCGACCTCGCGCACCTCGGGTCTCGGGAGCTGGGCTTGGAGGCTGGCCTTGGCGCTTGGTGTGCATCCGCACGTAACGCGACGCGGAAGCTCAGCCACGACGCCCGCCTGCAGCGGCCTTTGCGCTGGGACGCCATCGGACGCCAGCTCGGGCTAGACGGCGGGCCCAGAGTGAGGGAACAGATCGTGCTCGGGGCCTGCATCACCAGCACGCACTGGACGCAGGCCATGCTCCTCGGTGCATGTGAACAAGGACATGCGCGCTGCGGCTGCCGCGGAGCAGAGAGAGAGACACCTTGAGGCACCGCCTGTTCGGCTGCCCCGTGCTCGAGGCCCAGCGGCGCGACGGAGTGTTGGCACGGCCGAAGCAGGGTGCAGAGCGAGCGCGGGCCCCAGGCGGGCGCGCAGGCGACAACTTCGGCCGCTGCTGGCTGCCCACACCGGGGCCGCCGCAGGGTCGCCGCAACGACGCCATGTGGGTACAATGCGTCGGCTGGCCAGCTGGCAAGCTCAACGGCAAGCTGTACCTCTATGGCCCGGTGCTCGAGCCGCAGTTCGGCGCATTCCGCTGTGAAGGCTGGGCCTTTGCGCAGTGCGACGACGACGGCAACCTGGAGGCAGGGGTGCACCGCGCCGTCTGGCGCGACCGCTGCCCGCAGACGGCCAAGGACGGCGAGGACCTTGCAGCCTGGATGCGGCCACGCTCGGAGAGTAGCCGCTCTACAGGCAGCAGCTCGGCTGCCCTCTCGGCCAGTGCAGTCGCCTTCAGCATCCTGGGACATGCCCTGTCCTACGCCTGCGCTGGGGAAGGGGAGGACACCCAGGAGCTCGTGGCATGCTCCAAGTGCGGCGCCTACATGACGCTGGGCGGCCGCTCAGGGGTTAGGCCTCGCCTTAAGGAGCGCCGCCCAGGTGACAAGACCGACAAGGGCGGCAGGAACCAGCGCAGCCTGTGGCAACGAGGACTCCATCCTGGAGGCAGGAGGCAGGAGGGGTCGCGGACTGCCAGGCACAGAGCGAAAGGAGAGGGCATCCCAGCGCTGCGCTCGCAGGGTCCAGTGCCTGAGCAAGCGCAGGTGCGGTGCCTGGAGTGGCTTGGCACGGCAGCGGAGGCTGCTGCAGACTCTGCGGCCACTGCGAGCAGTGCAGGCAACGCCCCAGCGGCGGCAGCGGAGCCGCAAGTGGTCGCGGGCCCTGGTGGAGCCCCAGCGAATGCGGCAGCCGCTGCGGCCGCTACCAGCCTGCCTCTGCGGCGCCCAGCCGCGGCGAGAGCAGGGCGACTCGGGGCTGGAGGGGTCAGCGAGGAGGGCCCCTCCGCCGCAGCCGGCCCTGCAGGCGGCGCCCAGGTTTGCCGCAGGGTGCGCCGCCGCATGGAGCGCCGTGGCTGCCCCACCGTGAGTGAGTGAGTGACGGATTGCATCGCTGTGGCTCGCGCCAGCTGCTCCATTCGGGAGCACGCTTCCGCCGCCCTCGGTGCCTTGTTGGACGCGGCGTCTTTCGGAAGCGCGGGTCCCGTCTGGATCTGTCCGTGTTTTTTTCCTCGTGCCTTTAAGGCCCCGTTTTCAACTGCAACTTCAACACGCAGGAGCATGGCAGAACAAGTAAGACCAAGGCAGAACACACGAAATCACGGCAGAATGCACAGGAGCACCGCATAACACACAGGAACACGGCAGACCACGCAGGAGCATGGCAGACCACACAGGATCACGGCATATTTCGTTTCACATGTTGGGTGAATGAAGCGACTCTTCTCAAGGGATGAGTTTGAATAAGGCCCTCAAGATCGTTTTAGATGACCACGCGAGTAAACCTGAAGATTACTCCAACACATTCAAAGGCGCCCCTGGAGACCCCGAAGGGGCGCCACGATTGCCCCAAACGACCCACCCCTTAGGACTTATATCTATATATGTAAATGGTTTCCTGAAGTTGCTAGGGGGCAGCTATTCCTCCTTGATTATGGCATTATGCCGTGCTCCTGGTCTTTTCCTGTCGTGCTCCTTAGCTCGTGCGGTCTATTCAGCTTTTTTTTGTTTGCCGTGTTCCTTAGTTCTTGGGGCACATTCTGCCGTTTCCATTCGCTTTCGCGTTTTTGTTTCTGTCGGGTTCCTTGGTTTTTGTTGTGTTATACTCCTTCATTCTTGGGATCCATTATGCCGTGTTCCTGCTCTTTTCCTGCCGTGTTCTTTAGCTCTTGCGGCCTATTCCGCCGTACTCGTGGTCTTGTTTAGCAATGTGCCTTCTTTCCTGGCGCCGATTCTGCCGTGCTCCTCAGGTCTTGGGGCCTATTCTGCCGTGCTCCTGGTTTTCTCTATCGTGCCCCTTCGCTCCTGGGGCGTAATCTGCCGTGCTCTTTCGCTCTTGGGGCGATTCAGCAGTGCCCTTTGTCTTCTTCTGCCGTGGTCCTTTGCTCTTGGGGTCCGTATCCCTGGTCTTTATTTGCCGTGCTCTTTAGCTTTTGGGGTTGATTCTGCCGAATATAGAGGGGCACGGCAGAGCCCGCGGGAGCACGGCAACACAGACATAGCACTTAGGAACACGGCAGAACACACAGGAACACGGCAGAACACGCAGGAGCATGGCAGAACCTGCAGGTACATGATATAACACACGGGAACGCGGCAGAACACGCAGGAACACGGCAGAACACGCAGGAGCATGGGGGGAGAAGAAGGGAAATGGCAGAACACACAAGAGCACGCCAGAATACACATGAGCACGGCATAAACCGCAGGAACACGGCAGACCTCGCAGAAGCAAAACAGACAGCACACAGGAACACGGCAGAACACACAGGAGCACGGCAGAACACGCAGGAGCATTCCGCCTTGAAGGCCCCGTTTTTATTTTTAGTTTTAACACGCAGGAGCACGGCAGAACAAGCAGGCACATCCGTAGCCATTTTGGCTCAAGCCAGCTCGTTTCAGGCTTGCTTGAGCGAGGGATGGCCGCGGGAGGGGGCCCTCTGCGGTTCCCCCGTTCGCGGCGCGAGCGTGGCGATGCGGCGCGGCGCGCCCAGGCGGCTGCCGACGCGCTCATTTCCAAGCTGAAGAACAGGCTCGTGGAGGCGCAGCACGAGTGCGCCCGTCTCTGCGACCTACTTGCGGGCCCTGCTGTTCCAGATGGCGTGGCCAGGGAGGTGGCGCGCCGCGAGCGCATTGCGCGCCCCGCCCTGTGCGCGCTGGCGCAGGAGACCCCAGCTGCAGATTGTGAAGTTCTTCGTCGTAACGTGGCCCTGCACGCCGCGGTATGCCCTGAGGAGTCTGACCCTCCGGCTGCATGGCGCAGGGCGCAGCGGGGTCGGCGTCTCGCGCGCGGCAGCCGCCGTGCCTCCTGGAGGCGCTTGGCTTTTCCCCACAACGTCGATGCGCTGGACTTCGCGCCGTCCGCAGGCTGCTGGGAGGCCCTGCCGCGCAACGAGGTCGCCGTCGACGACGTGGACTCCGTGGAGTCGTGTAACGCGGAGCTGGCAGCAGGCGCCGTGCCAGGGCCCCTGCGGGAGCCCCCGTGGGGGGCGACTGCCCTTGCGCTGCCGCGCCGCGCCGCGGGCGGCGGGCGCTGCGACGCGGGGTCGGGCATTCGATGCGCGTGCGGGGCCGTGGTTTTCTCGGGCGTGGCGGTCGGCGCGCAGGCGGTTAGCAGGGCGCTGACAGTGCCTGGCGTCATCAGCCACGCCGCGGTCAGCACGTGCGAGGAGAGCGCTCTGCGGCAGGTCAGCGTCGGCATCCAGAGCGACGTTTACTTTGTCGAGGGCGTGGAGAGGCAGATGAGGCTCTGGGGCCAGGAGCACCCTGGCCGAACGACCCGTCCATTCGTGCGGCGCCGCGCTCGGGTGGACGCGGCGTTCGGGAGCTGGCGCGCCGCCGCTTCCGCAGCTCGAGGAGCGCGGCGGGGCCGAGTCCCGAGCCGCCCTCGGAGTGCAGGAATCGCGGGAGGCGAGTGAGTGAGTGAGGTTGGCATGCAGTTGCATTCGTGTGTTCGTGTGTAGGGCTGTTTTGCCTGTGAGTGAAGACTCTTGTGTGCAGTCGCAGTCGAGTTCACGGTGGGCGGTGGCCCAAGGCGGCCCCGCTGGGAGTGCGAGAGGCGGCCCTAGCCGGCCCCTCTCGGATGGGCGGCCCTGCGGGGCCCCCGCGAGAGGCGGCCCTAGGCGGCCACTCTCGGGCGAGCGTGTCTTTTGGCTTTTTGGGCCCACCACTCCGCCTTGAAGGCCCCGTCTTCAACTTTAACTTTAACTTTAACAAGCAGGCGCATGATAGAACGCACGGGAACGCGACAGAACACGCAGGAGTACGGCAGAGCATGCAGGAGCATGGCAGAAGAAACAGGGAAATTGCAGAACACACAAGAGCACGGCACAATACACATGAACACGGCATAAACCGCAGGAGCACGGCAGACCGCGCAGCAGCACGGCAGAACACACCGAAGCACGGCAAAACAGACAGAGCACACTGGAACACGGCAGAACACACGTGAGCACGGCAGAGCGCGCAGGAGCATGGCAGAACAAGTAAGACCATGGCAGAACACACGATGTCACGGCAGAATGCACAGGAGCATCGCAGAACACACAGGAACACGGCAGACCAGGCAGGATCACGGCAGACCACACAGGAACATGGCATATTTCATTTCACATGTTGGGTTAATGAAACGATTTTTCTCAAGAGGTGCGTTTGAATAAGGCCCTCAAGATCGTTCTAGATGACCACGCGAGTAAACCTGAAGATTTCTCCAACACATTTAAAGACGCCCCAGGAGACCCCGAAGAGGCACCAACATCGCCCCAAGGGACCCCCCCTGGGAACTTGAGATAGTTAACCTGTTGTTTAAAATGTTTCCTAAAGTTGCTAGGGGAGACGTTCCCCCCTTGATTCTGGCAGTATGCCGTACTTCTGGTCTTTCCCTGCCGTGCTCCTTTGTTCTTGCGGTCCATGCTGCCGTGCTCCTAGGCTGTGCTCTGGTCTTTAGTCCTTCCCTTCGCTCGTCGGTTTCATCTGCCGCTCCCCTGGTCTTATCTTGCTGTGCTCTTGAGCCCTTGCGGTCTACGCTGCCGTGCTCCTGGTCTTTTTGTTCTACCGTGCCCCTTCGCTCTTGGGGTCTATCGTGCCGTGCGCGTGTCGTTTTTTTTTTTTTTTTTTTTGCCGCGCTCTTTCCCCTTGGGGTTCATTCTGCCGTGCTCATTCGTTTTTGATGTTTTTTTTGTCGTGCTGCTGGTCTTTTCTCTGTTGTGTTGCTCCGCTCTTTGGGCTTATTATGCCATGCTCCTTCGGTCATTTCTTCTTCTTCCTCTGCCGCGCTCCTGGTTTGTTTCTGCCGTCGCCCTTCGCTCGTCGGTTCTATTCTGCCGCGCTCCTGGTCTTACCTTGTCGTGCTCCTTAGCTCTTGCGGTCTATGCTGCCGTGCTCCTGGTCTTTTTTGTCTGCCGTGCTGCTTCGCTCTGGGGGCTTATTATGCCGTGCTCCTTCGCTTTTGGGGTCTAGTCTGCCGTGCCCCTGGTCTTCCCTGTCCTGCCGTGCTCCCTGGCTCTTGCGGTCTATGATGCCGTGCTCTGGTCGTTAGTTTCTCTGCCGTGCTCCTTCCCTCTTGGGGTTTATTCTGGCGTGCCCCTTCGCTTTCGAGTTTTTTTTTTGTTTTCCGTGCGGCTGGTCTTTTCTCTGTTGTGTTGCTTCGCTCTTTGGGCTTATTCTGCCGTGTTCCTTTGGTCTTGGGATCTTTTCTGCCATCCTCCTGGTTTCTTCCTGTCATGCCCCTTCGCTCGTCGGGCCTATCCTGCCGCGCAACTGGTCTTATCTTGCCGTGCTCCTTCGCTCTTGCGGTCTATGCTGCCATGCTCCTGGTCTTTTTTCTGCCGTGCTCCTCCGCTCTGGGAAGCTTAGTATGCCGTGCTACTTCGCTGTTGGGGTCTATTATGCCGTGCTCCTGGTCTTCCCTATCCCGCCGTGCTCCTTAGCTCTTGCAGTCTATGATGCCATGCTCTGGTCGTTAGTTTTTCTGCCGTGCTCCTTCCCTCTTGGGGTTTATTCTGCCGTGCTCCTTCGCTCTGAGGTCTTTTCTGGCGTGCTCCTGGTCTTTTCTCTGTTGTGTTGCTTCGCTCTTTGGGCTTATTATGCCGTGCTCCTTTGGTCTTGGGATCTTTTCTGCCATCCTCCTGGTTTCTTCCTGTCATGCTCCTTCGCTCGTCGGGCCTATCCTGCCGCGCTCCTGGTCTTATCTTGCCGTGCTCCTTAGCTCTTGCAGTCTATGCTGCCGTGCTCCTGGTCTTTTTTTGTTTCTGCCGTTCTCCTTCGCTCTGGGGGCTTATCCTGCCTTGCTCCTTCGCTTTTGGGGTCTATTCCGCCGC